CACCGAGTAGAGGCCGTCAGCCGGTCCGCATAATTTTAGAGAAAGTCAAGCAGCAGCAAGCTGTTTCTTTTTTGCTTCTCTCTCTGTCAATTGATCCCGCGCCCCTAGGGAGCTCCTACGGCTCAAACGGTTCCGTAAGCGGAAGCTCGGGCAGACCATGGGAGTTCATTGCGGGGTGGAGGACTGGCACCACTGGGCGTGTCTCCTGATCCCCTGCAAAAAAGCTTCAATAAAGGCCGGTTGGCTAAAAGACCTGGTCCTGCCGCCAACCCCCCGCATGACCAGGACGCATGGCTGCTGATACACTGACTGTGGCTGGAGCAACACCCTTCTGCCACCAGCTAGGCTATCGGCTAGTAGAAGAGCCCAATGGCGGCACGCAGGCTCTAGACCTCCCCCTTCCTCGCACACGTCTGTCTTTCTCTGGACGAGTGGGCATGCTAGCCTGCCCTCCTTCTCCCGGGCTTACACCTCAGCTCGCGTGGGGGCCATACCCCTGCCAGATGGGGGCGCATTGAGCATAATCCCAGATACCCACCTGCTGTGTGAGGCTATGGGACTCGCTCTTCTGTCCAATTGACTCGCAAATTCCCAACTTTGGTTAGGTGTAAAGATCATTGGGCTGTGTGGACTCGCCCATCCTGGCCTGGCCATGCTACGAGGTTGTTGAGATAAAATAAAACCTCATGCATGGCCCGCGAAGCGCTGAAAGTGGTGTGGTCACACATTTGCTGAACGTGCGTGTGGGACGGGAGTCAGCCGAACGGTAGTCTGTTTGTACTCGTAGGGCTATCCCCCTGGAAGGCCAAAACCAAATATTCCCTGCGTTTTGGCTTTCTAGCAATTTCGACATGAAAGGTATAGCTTCCCCTCAGGTCGATTGGTTTGTTACCAATCGCCCGGACTGTACCAGTTCAGTGACTGTAGGAATTCCACAACGCACTTCGTCCTCGTAACAGGCGCGGCTGTGGTGGACCCGCCCTTGCTGCCTGGATGTCTATATAGTTTTTTCAGGCAGTCATCCCTTCTCAGCCATTCCTCTCAGGGGCCAAGCTGGAGAGGTTGCTCAGAGTGGGTAACGCCTAATGCACCCCGCTTCTTGAGACAGCGCCCCGGAACGAGGAACTGTCAGTGCTCGCGGCCCAACATCATCTGTGTCACTTCTGGTGTGCCACGGCGCGATCGGACCGACCTGGGGCTACAAGAATGACCCCGACAAACTGGTTCTCATCGTCCACCCACCCTCCCCGGAGCGGCAGTGGGGCATGAGACGCAGCGGTGGAAAGGTGTACTGTAGAGCATGCTATTGGATAGCCAGAATGTGGGGGGCCTTTAGAGAAAAAAACATTCTCTGAGGCCCACAATAGTCAACAGAAGTCGTTTGTGCCTCTTGGGATCTAAACGAAGGCCGGCAAACCACCTCTGCAGGCGACGCATATGCAGTAACCCCAGCGGTACCACGAGGTGAGCAGCCGCCATGAGACCCAGAGTCTGTATGATGGTCAAAGCCGTCACCGTTGCCCCCCGTCGCAGTCTGCAAACTGCCTGAAGCAGGGATGCCTGTCTGCTCTCTGACAGGGTGGCACGTAGTCTGCCCGCATCGAGCAGAATCCCCAGATACTCCACCTGCTGGTGAGGTATGGGACTGCTCTTCTTCCAATTGAAGAATTACTTGACAATGACTATGAGGTCGTTGAGATAAAATAAAACCCTCCCGGCTGGAGCGCTGTGGTCACACATTTGCTGAACGTGCGTGGGGATAGGGAATAGCCGAACGATAATGTTGTACTCGTAAGCTATCCCCTGGAAGGCAAAACGCAAATATTTTCTGTGCTTTGGAGCAATTTTGATATGAAAGTAAGCGTCCCTTAGGCCGATGGTTGTGAACCAATCGCTCAGCTGCACCAGTTCCAGTAATTGTTTTATGGTTAACATATGGAACTTTTGCAGACAATGTGCTGATTCAGGATGCAAAGATCCAGAATGGGTCTGAATCCTCCTGTCTTCTTGGAAACCAGGAAGTACATGGAATAAAGCCCCTTTTCTCTGTCCTGAGAGTGCACAACAGACACAGCCTGTTTTTGCAACAGGGCCAGAATCTCTGTTGAAAGGAAACCTATCCCCTCCTGGGATGATAGATTTGCCTCACTTATGCCCCTGAGTGGAGGAGGGATACTGCAAAACCTGTCCATCCCCTCTGTCAGTACACAGCTGAGGTTCCATTCCCCATAAACTTTGCTAGGGGACATGCAAGCAGCTGTCGAGCCACAGCTAAGACGCTGTGGAACTCTCTGGTGGCCCACTCCGCCGCCAAACCTTCCATAAAAGGAAGTTTGGCCCATCGGGGGCTGACACAGAAAGGGCCGATTTTCTACTGAGGTCCTTGAACGCACCACCGCACACTCTCGCGGGGCCGCGCGCTCCGTCATAATGCCATCTTCACACAGACGGTGACATTTATTAATCGGAGCTATTACACTAGGCGAGGTGTGTTTTCTGACAACAACAGCAACAAGTAGTTATAAATACATACTATGCTAATGATAATGCTGCTCCATATCTGTAATGATGTATTTAGTTAACATTTGTTTGCCTGTTGGTTCATCAGCTTCCCCAAAAAATTCTAATTCAAATGTAAACAATGTGATTTATTTGCAGTAGCCTATTTGTTCAACTACAATACAAAGCACTTTTCGAATGTAAGCTATGGATTGCATCTGTTCACATTGGTCCCATTGTCATAATATTAACGTTATATAATGACACCCCTTTCCTTAATTTAAAGAAAAGCATTTCACCTTCAATGCAACACAAATAACAGTGCACCATCAGCTATCATAAAAAGGCAAAACATAGCCTGTTATAAAATTAGGACATAAGAACTCAAGGACAAAACCATCCAGAACAAACAAACAGACTTTTAGGAAGAGCAAAGCTTGCAGGAAGTGAGGACGGTGCTGCAAAGGTTAGACCGCTGGCCTTTCTTCAGTAGATCACTGGGTGTCTGCTGACGGGAGGGTCCCTGGGTGGAGGAGCCCTGAGTTAGTGTGTGTGTGTGTGTGTGTGTTTGTGTGTGCGTGTGTGCGTGCGTGCGTGTGCGTGTGTGTGTGTGTCAGGGTAAAGGAAAGGCTGATGAACTTCAATTTCTATTAGAAACCGACAGGGGCTCGTCGGCTCGGTCGCCAATCAATAGGCTGAAGGACAAGGGTGTCAGAAAAAAATGAAAGACCCTTAGCTTCCTGTCTGGCTGAAGAGAAGAGGAGGGGGGGAAGGCAGAGATGGACTGGGATGAGACAATGGAAGTGTGAGAATTATGATGGGGTAAAGAAATGATGAGTAAAGCAAATACCGAGTGTTAAGTGTGTGGATGTGTGTCATCTCTAGCATAGACATGGTGTAACTGTCAGTGTCAGCAGGGTGAGGGTTATCAGTCCAGGCAGAGTGTCTCCCTCCTCTATCTTCAACTCTTTGTTTGATCTCTCACAGCTACAGGATCCCAGGAGGTCCACGCCTCGCTTTGTGAAGACTCAGTGGAGAGCCCTAGCAGGTCCAAATTCATCTTTAAGGTCATACCATGTGACTGGACCTTTGCCATCACCAATCAGATTATCCCGGAGCCTGAAAAGCATTGATGACCCCGGAGCAGCAAGAGCATGACACTGTATATTCCACCGCATTTGAATTGTGCACGATACAGTGGAGACTGGTTACTGCCATGTAAAAGCTGTTGGAATTTTGTACACGGTACACATTGAAGGATGATTCTAAAACCTTTAGAATGCTACATCAGATACACACATGCATTTTACAGAATATGTTCATAATTACCCATTTAGAGTTATACAAAGATCTTTGTTAAACATGAGACCATGTATCAAATATTTCACATATTTGATATTCAAACCCTTATCTGGGTGCATGTAGTTTAAAAGACAAGTGCATTTAGCAGGCAGGGAAGTTCTTATTAAAGATCTCATTGAGTTGCAATATAGGAATTGTAGGTTCAAGCATTTTCCACAGATACTAGATTTTTGGAGACAATTCTAAAGAAGAGCCTGGTTTTAAGTTTTGTAATTGTGCATTTATTAGGTTCATTAGGTGTTTTTCCAGTCCAAAACGGAGCATTGAAGGTTTTTGTAAGCAGCAAAAATTTGTTATTTTCTGTACAGTAGTCTGTGACTGAATAAAATGCAATTTGAAGGCATAAAAAGCACAATGTGTTACAGTCCCCTTATAGTAGTGGAATTATGTTTTTACATATAAGTCGTTTTTTTCTTTATTTTCCTTTTGTTTTTAAAGTTAATCCTGATGTTGTGCGATATCCTGGATGTGAGTGCACATCAGCCTGTATGAATGTAACACAGCTGCCTTTCCTGCGGCCCTGTCCTCCTGACTAAAAGCCTTTTTGACATGAATTAGCATGTCGTCCTTAAAAGGCTCCAATTTTCCTCTGAAAGGTATGTCTCTAATAGGTACCCTTTCACGAATTCAAGCCCGATGTAACCTTGAATAAAGACACACATACGTTCTTTTTTTAAATCTTTCTTCACACTTCCTCTGTGGAAAAATACACAGCAAAGCAGAGAGAAGCTGTCATATCAAGGCTTATAGTAAAAAAAAAAGAAAACACAACAAAGATTTAATTTCCATAATGCATTCTAATGGATGGGCGATGTGTTTCAGCAGGTGAGACCAGAGGGCAAAGGCTTTCCAGACAAACACAACAATAAACCTGACGAGCACCATTACGCCGTAGATGTTACAGGCTGTGAGGGAATGGAAATGATGATAATTAGCTAATTCAGCTATAATCTCATTTGTTTGGTCTCACCTTTTGCTAATACGACTTTGACCCTGGCGCTTGAACGTTCCAAACGGCACAAATGAGAGTGCCAGCATGCTAATTTAGCAAGCAAATAACACAAATACTGGTTCTTGTATTGACGTTGGGACAATGGAGGTTAGTGTGTTAAAAAATGGGCCTTAAAGCTATTTGTCTGTTAATGATCTGTCTCTGTGCATATATATACACTCCAATAGAGAGGCTTTTTTATTTGAAACACCCTAAAAACAGATAGGCCTACATAAGATAAGATGAGATAAGATAGTACTTTATTAATCTCGATTTTAGAAATGTTTGTGTAGTGTAGCTTCATGTTTCAAATAATTAATAAAAGAAAAAACACACACATTGACACACTTTAAAACAAAACTTCTATATTCATCCAAACACACACTTAAAACAACACACTTTCTATTTGTCCTCTTTTTATTTGTATTTCTTTTTTAAATGTATTAAATTATTATTTATTATGATTTTGTGAAATAATTACTTTAATTTGTTGTAAATATTTTCTGTTTGGGAAAAAAAAAAGACTTTTATACCTGCCTGATTCATAGACTAAATCATGATTATCATCTAACGAAGAAACATACTATAAATACATGCAATGTCATATCTAAAGAAGACATTAAAATGCAAACACAATGTTGACATACCAACAGATGCACATGTTTTTAACTGTATTAAAAAGCCACATGCACACACATACACAAAGCAGGTTCCTCACACATACCTCAACACTGTAATCTGCTGTCGACCAGGAACATTCCTCCAGCCTGGGACACAGCACATGGAGCTCAGACTTCTCTTTAATAAGCACTCCATATGTGCTGGGCTGCAGGCCAGGGTCCAGGGGGGGGGGGGGAGTGAGCTATGGTTAAGTGTGTGCGGTTAGACCCAAGGTTTCTAGACGGCCTTTCATCCCATGCCAGCCCCGGCCGGGTGTGAGCAGCTAGGGGTTGAACTTAAGAGTTTAATGGTTCCTCTGGTTCCCTGCATCATATACATTGAACCCAGGATGCTTAGATGCTGGCCGGAGTTTACTAACCATTTCCCACTGCACCACCACCGGATGTGGGTCCCAAACATGTCGCTCTTTATCCACATTTGAACATGACTATAGAGCAGTGGAGGAATGACTACTAAAACCCAGAAATGAGTCAGTATTTTATCACTTCCTGTTCCTTGTCTCAAAGTCAACGTTTTCTTTTTTAAATGTGTTTTGGGTATTCCTGAAATAAGGTCTGTGGTTAACACAAGCTAGAGAGTTGTTTTGTTCTACCACATAAAATGTATCAATAAATAGCCCACTGGTGAATGTCCGAAGCTAGCTTAAGAACGGCTGTTGCTAACAAGCGGCTAAATGAGACACTACACGTCATCATGCCAAACATTAGCAACCTTTAGCTTAGCGGTGGTGACGCACAGCCAGGCAACAATAGTTATTTTAGCTTTTTACTTCTAGTGATTTCATTTATGATTCAAATGTCTTATAGTGGAGTAAATATATCGAGATTATCCTGCTGAACAAAATGCGTAAGTATCATAACTTTGAGTTGGCCAAAAATATGTTATTTCACTTTTTGGCTGTTTTACCTGCGTTGGAGAGACCTTGTTCAGGCGTGACCAAAACCAGTTTTGAAGGATAGATGACCTTTTATACTTTCATCTGGCTGCTATCCCCAAAACTGTTACTGGTGCTGGATGTGTATTTTGTAAATTGTGTAATTTCCACTTTATTTTTAAAAATATTTGAATGCATGCTTCTTATTTATATTAAGCTATCTTTGGCTCTTTACTTGCTGTATTAATGTACATTTCACCTCTGTGGGACGATTAAAGGTATTCTGATTCTGATAAATACATTCAGTCCTTTTGACCTAAGTGTGTCATTGAACCACACATTGTAATGCAGTGTCTGGACAAAGGCTTAATATGTGAGTAATAAGATCTTTCCCTTTCTTTCAATCCCTCTGTGTGTCTCAGTGTCAGTGAGTGGGCTCAGGTGCTCTGGCCAGCATTGAGGGACATTTTCAAGCTCCCTCTCTAGTTCCAACTGGAAATCAATACATGACCACTCAGACCACACTTTACTCCTGTGCATTCACTCAATGTTATTACCTTAAAAACTCTGACATTACTCACTTTTGCTCAAAGTTATTGTTTGCCCTAACCCTGACCCTACACATACAGAAAGGAAACATGGGTTACACTATGAGATTAATAGATTATTCTTTAGATCGTTTTTGGATAGATAAGCATTACAGCATGGACTCAGGTGAGCGACATAAGAGTCACCATAATAGAAGCTTAATTTTAACTTTGAAGTGAATTTAATTATAAAAAGGTAGACATCAATAACCGACATCATATGTATAGTCGCTCATGTA